TGTAGGTGCAGCTTATTGTGGTTTTAATTTGCATTTGCCAAATAACTGATGGCACTGAACATCATTTCAGTGGCCTATTCATGTATCTACTTTTGCAAAGTATCTGTGCAGATTTTTCTGCACATTTTTATGAATTTCTTGCTTTTTTCATTAGTTTTAAAAAAATCTTTCTATATTTACATGTAAATCTTTTATCAGCAGTAGGTAGTGGAAATATTTTCTCCAGCTCTGTGATTTGCATATTCACTTTCTTAACTGTGCTTGAAGTTTTCCATTCTGATAACATCCATTTTATTTCTGTTAGGATAGTGGTTTTTGAGCCTTATTATCTCCCCTTACCTTAATGTTGCAAAGATTATCTGCATTGTTTTCTTCTTCAAGGTTTAAAATATTAGCTCTTAGAAGGCTTGGATCTATAATTCATTTTGAGTCACCTTGTACATGACGTGAGATGGAGTCAAAGATCATTTCTTTTATCAGTCTTGCTATCCATTTATTCCAGCACTATTTTTCAAATGAGCTAACCGCATTCCATTAAATTTTCTTGGCTCTGTTGTAAGAAAATCAGTTGACCATGTTTATATTGGTCTACTTCTCAACTGTTTTCTGGTCCATTGATCTGCCTGCTATCTTTATGCCAATATTATACTGTCTTCACCACTTCCATTTTTTAGTAAGCTTCTGAATCATATTATGTAAGTTTTTAATCCATGTTCCTTACCTTCAGAATTGTTTTGGCTACTCTAGGTTATTTTCATTTTATATGTACTGCTGGAATTTTGAATAGCATTGTGCTAAATCTGTGAGACAACAGTAGGAGAATCAAAACCTTAACATTTTCTACTTCTCAATGTATAAATATAGCATATTTCTCCATTTATTTAATTTCTTTCATACTTTTAATTTATTTCTGCAATAATTTTTATTTACACTGAAAAAGTCTTGGTAAATTTACCCTAAATGGTGTTTCAAGGTTCCTCTAAGTTGTTTTATTTGCATTTGTCGATTACTCATTGCTTGCACATTTTTGTACACTGATCTGTAGTTTATGACTTTGCTAAATTTATCTAATAGTTCTAATGGCTTTTTGGTAGATTCCTTATAATTTTTCTGTAGACATTGTTATGGTTTAGGTCAAGAATGTCTTCCAGAGGACTCATGTGCATATAGGTGGGGTCTGGTTGGAAGAGGCGGGTCATTGGGAGTGGGACCTGGAAGGTTCCGTCTCTCTTCCCCAGTCCTATTTTCTCTGTTCCTGGGCCACCATGATGCAGCAGCTTGCTCTGTGCAGACTCTTCTGTATGCCATCTCCATGTTTACGTCTGCCGAGCATAGTCTGAAATATGTAAAACCGTGAGCCAACATAAATCTCTCCTCTTTTAATTTGGGGCTGTCCGGTATTGTGTCTCAGCAATGAGAAAGTAACTAAGCCAATAATGTCATCTGTGAGTAGACAGTCGTATTTCCTCTACAATATGATGAATGTTTAAGTAGGAAAATATAAAAATTATGGTAAAAAACACATTACCATTCATCTCCCTCAAACTACTTACATTGAACTTACCTCTCCCATCATGCTTGCCACTTTCTGAAGCAGTTGTATGATCAAAGTTACAGTGAGTACCATTACCTGCTACCATCCAACAGAAAGGCAGGCTCGTAAGGCATGACACCGTGCTGTCATCCACTGTTTACCTGCTTTGGCACACGCAACTTCTGGCTCTTGCCCAAACTCAAGATGGCCATGAAAGGTGTGTTGGTAACTTTTCTCTCATTGCTGGGCAAAATACCCAGCACCCAAAATGAAGGAAGGAAAGGTTTATTTATCTCACAGTTTGTGGAGATTTCAGTCCAAATCAGCTGGCTCCAAGGCAGAGTGGCCTGGCACAGGGGCAACACTTCAAGGCAGCAGCCAGAGCAAAAGGAGGGAAGAGCAAGCCTCTTTTCCTCCCTTATGCTCTGCACAGGCCACTGGCTCTCCAGGGCTACCATAACACTCACAAAATCTCCTCTCCCTCCTCCTACACAGGATGACAGTGTTTACAAAGCACCCTGGCTCCCTGCTGAGTCTCATTTAAATTTCTAGACTGCTCAAGTTGAGACATTGTATCAACCATAACAAAAGGTAAATGTTTTGAATTGATTCATGACACTGAGGCAGATACCACAGCTCAACAAAAGACAGGATGAGAAAGAACTTTCAGAGCTGCTTCGGAAAGTGTCAAGAACAATGGGATGAGTGTGTTTGCAAAGGGTGGTGTGTTTTGAGGAAGAGTTAAAGGCAGTGTGTCTTACTGTGATAATGTTTAAAACGATTTCAGCATTCACTGAATTGTTTGAGCACATCTCATAGATCTAATCAGCACTGTGCCCATTGTATTTCCTGCTCTTTTCTGTGCTGCTATGGCTCAGTGTCTAAAAGTAAACCATATATTTTGTCCAGTTTCCTGTTTACAATGGGAGGTCTAATCTGCTACAGTAATTCATCAGAGCCAGAAGATGGACTGTTATGAGATTAACTTTAGCAGAGTGTATTTTATTCCAAGTATTTTATTCTGTATGCTACTTTCTCATTAAACATTGTTAAAATTTCCTGTCATTAACAAAGCTTCCACTTAATGGCTGTCTAATAGTCTGCCTTATAAATCTTATGTAATTTATTCAATTATTGCTTTATTATGAGACCATTGGGATACTTTTATCAGTCTAAATATTTGTATCAGATATTTTCATACCAATTTTTGTATTTACTTATCTGTGGTATAGTAATTCTCTTACTGTATTAGTTTTCTTTAAGGAGATTCTGAGAACAATAGAGTACAAGTCTTTACATTGCTTGTACTAATCCTCCATGGAACATAATAAACGCTAAATTTCCCGTAAACAGACGGGGCTTGATGCTCCTTCAGAAGTGATAAAACTGGATAAATCCTTTCATTTCTTGGGCCCGTTCAAGGAACCTGACTGTGCTAGCTTTTTATCATTCCAACAAATGTATGAGATAATTGACTTATAAAAGAAAAGGTTGATTTTGGCTGATTTTGGAGGTTTCAGTTCATGATGTGTTGGTCTGTTGGCCTCATTGCTTTTGGGTCTGTGGTGAGGAGGTACATCGTGGCAGGAGTGTGGCAGAGCAAAACTAACTCACCTCATGGTGAGAAAGTGAAAGGGAGAAAGAACAAAGGTGCAGGTCCCACAACCCCCTCAAGGGTGCAGCTCCAGTGACCTAAAGAACTCCCGCTAGTCCCCACCTCTTGAAGGGTCCACCATCTCCGGTAGCACCAAACCGGAGTCAACCCTTTAACACAGGGCCTTTGGGGACATTTCATACCCAAGCCGTGAAACCGATCGTCTCATGGAAGGTAGATTTCATCACCTCTGTGTGGCAGGAGAGGGCGTGTGTGCTGCCCATGTGGATGACACACAGACGTAGGAAGTAAGGCCAGCCAGCCAGCTCCTCGCTGGTGACAGCACCTTGGGTCTCATCACCTTGCTTTTTGCTGGGCCTTTTCTACCAGCTGGGTGTGGCTGTCTGAGCAAACCCTCCACCCTGAATCTCTGTGCTCCTGAGCTGCCCATTCTTCCCCAGTGACACAGAGGCTTCCCGTGACAAAACTTTCCATTGGGGATGTTGGCTTAGGGGCCAGGCCCTTGTGGAGAGCCCATCAATTGTGATTAGGGGAGGCTCCAGCTGCCCTTGGACGTCTTCAGACTCACACTTGTCTGTCATCTTCCATTTGGCAGTGAGCCCGGATCTTACAGCATTTCGTGGGAGTTGCTTTGTATGTGCTTTAAAGAGCATATTCTTAATGTAGAGCTTTTGCCTGGTAAATGTCCCCAGACATCACCAGCTACAAATGCCAGTAAGGACACCTGTACATTTAAAACCCGATGCCCCGAGCTGTATTCTGTTCACCCTTTAACAGCGGGAACTCAGACTGCATTCCAACATTCCTCAGATGTTTTCATAGAGCTCTGTACTCGAAGTCTGCCATGCACGCATTTCTGCAACAGGGTATCCCCAGGTTTCATTCATACCACTGTCCCTGCACTCCAGGCTTAGCTGAGTGTGCCCCTGCAGCCCCACTCTGCCTATACCACGCCTGATGGCCTGGACCCGGGCTCACACTGCCACTGCAGTGCTCTGGAACTCTCATCAGAGGCTGGACCCTCAGTCGCTCAGCTTGGACACTGTCCTTCATGCCCTGCTGCCTCCTCTCTAGCCCTCAACTAGGATCTGATACTTCTTCCTCCAGAGTGCACTTCTACTTTGACCCGCCCCACTTGTAGGTGGGGCTCTGTACTCCGGGGAGATGTGCGTAATATTCTTTCCAAAGGAATTGGTAGTCTGGTCCTCTGTGGTCCTCCTCGGCTTGGCTCGGCCCAGTGTGTGTTGCTAGGTAAGAAAGTGGTGCAGAAATGGGAAGGCAGCTTTCTGATCTTATATGTGGCCTGCTCTGTGCGTGATATTAGTGTAATCAGGAGCACTGTGCTCATAGGACTCAACTAAGAGGCACAGTGCAGTGCCCAGAGCCAAAGCTTCCCTTCTGGCTTTCGTCCTAACTAGACCATCCTTCTCAAGGGTTCCTCAGGCCTGCCTTTGGGCTGTTGTTTATCTCACATAGCCAATGCCATGTTTCTGCATCTTCCTGTGTAGTGGGCAGCTGTGATTTCTTTCCCCAGAAGTCTTTCAACATGTACATCAATCAGTGGAGGAAAATTGGAGTGTGAAGAAATGAAAGGAGAATTTCAAGTTGGGTCCAGCCTTGATCTCTGACACTGTGTCACCAATTATGCTAGTCTCTTACGAAAGTATTTTGAGCTCCTCAAGGCAGTCTTGGTCCTCTCTGTGATTGCACAGGCAGGACCAAAGAGGAATGCTTTTTTAATGATCATAGGCTTTTGTGATGGATTGACCACTGGTGGTTAACTTGTAACATGCAGCTGAACCAAATGAGCATGGTGCTGGGTGTGGAGGGCCCACCTGAGGATTGTTGCCAACAACATAAAAAGGAGAACTGAAGAGGAAGATGTGATGCTGTTGGTTCTCCTGGAGAGGCTTGTCATGCTGGCTTTCCTGATATGAACTCGGCTCTTCTCATAATCAGAGGAGGTCAGGACCTCGCTGTTGCTGAGGATGGGTGTAGTACTTTTGGGGGAGGTTCTGATCCTAGCATCATTTCCTGGCCCTGGGGGAGAGGATAGTGTGCTGTTCAATCTCCTGGAGAGGTTTGTCATGCTGGCATCTTGATATGAACAGAGCTGTTATCATCATTGGAGGAGCTGGGGTCCTCACTGTTGCTGAGGATGGATGCAGTTTTTTGGGGGGGAGCCTGGTCCTTACTTTGAGCATCACTTCCTGGCTCCAGTGCAGATCCCTCAGCCTGCGGGAACATTCTAGCTTCTGCTGCTGACCTTTGGGCCTTCTCAAGTAGATCCATGAGACACTGTCATGGTCTCTGGATCTTCAGGTGGACTCATGCAGGACTTTGCCATGGGATCCAGGCCCTTAGCTGGGTCTTTAGTGTGTGGATAGATTTCTTGCACGTTTTTGTGTTTGACTCTTTGTGTGACTATTATAAAATAATTCCATAAATTATAGGTCCTGAATTAAATTGTTTTCCTTGCAAATCCTGACTACAACAGCTATCAAGGCTGGAAGCATCTTGCAGGGGAATTAATTTTGAGTGTTAGTTCTGTGCTAGAATACAGCAATCCAGGAGAAAATGATTGTCATTACTTTCCTGCTTGCCGGCTGTTGGGTATGTGAAGACAGTCCTCATGCCCTGTAGGGTTCCTTTCTCCATACTAAAGCCTCCACAAATGCACATTGGTATACAAGGGCATGAAAAATTCCACAGGGTGTGTAGCTTAAAGGACAGAAATTTATTTTCTCATCCTTCTGGAGGTTGGGAATCCAGTGAAGATCCCAGTGGGGCCAGCTTCCTCTGAGGGCTGGGAGGGAGCAGCTCCAGACCTGTCCTCCTGGCTTCCTAGGGAGCCCCCTGTGCTGTCACAGACTGACATCTGAGTTCCTGCTCACCCAGGACCCCTTTCTTTCATGAGCACCAAACTCATTTTAACTTAATTCCCCTTTAAAGATGTTACCTCTGAATATCACCACATTCCAAAGCGCTGGGGTTGGAAATTGAATAGATGCATTTGGAGGAAGGGCACAGTTAGCTGGTGACAATGTTTAGAGTCCCCTTGAAGTTTTGGTTATTGACTCCTGAAGGTGTCCTTCTGAACTGCCTGAGGCAGGATATCTCGAGACACCAGGATAAGTAATTTGGGCCACAGGTTTTATTTTAAAAATTATTGGTAGCTACTTTTATTTTTCTGTCAATGTGGACTCTGTTTTCTTCATCTTCTTTCCCCTCTCATTTCTGTTGTGTTTGTGTGTGTACATGTATGTATGTGTGTATGTGTGTGTGCATGTGCGTGCATTTTTATCTGTCACTTAGGCAGGAAGAAAGATTTCCCTCTTCTTTGACACCCAGGGGAGACAGATGGCCTCTCCTTCCTTAGTGGCTCAAGCTTTTCACATCACAGTCATTTCTTAAGAACTGTTTTTGCTAGGCACTGTGCTAGACATGAGAGACACGTAAGTAAATAGGAAACAGCTCTGCCTTCTGAGCTCATAAATTATGGGATGATTTACATATACATGCATATTTAGAATGCAGTGTGCTAAAAGCAGTGAGAGAATTTGGAGCAAACTACAGAGGTAGCACTGAGAAAGTGACAATCCACAAAGAGCAGGCAGAGGAGACGTCACCTAGAAGGCAATTTCAGACTGGTCTGAAAGCCACTTAGGACAGTATCTGATGGTGGCGTTGTCGGCTGTATGGTGTATCCCAAGAACGACAGTATTTATGGATGTAAATGGAAGACGAGGGATGGCAGGAGTGATGCTGTTCAGAGAAGGGGAGGCCCTAGATCAAGATGTATGCTGTGCTCTCATTAAGTGATTTCCAGCAAAGGGACAGTTTAACCCGGTTCGCTGTTTGGATGACAGACTTGTGACAAAATGGAAAGGGACATAGAGGAAAATGGCAGGGACCTCAGCTGAGGCTGTATTGTAAGTCAGTTAAGGGATGATGAGAATGGCAGAGGACATCAAGGGACAGGGATGTGACTGAAGAGTCCTTAAGAATTGATTCGGGGGGAATTTGGTACCCATTTGGGGTGGTGGCAGGGATGCAGCCTGGTTACCCTGCTGCCAGCAGCTGAGCTAAGCATGTCGAAGAAGAGTGGCTTCCGGGGTGAAGGTGAGTTCTGTTCTACACCAGGGTTTTGACCCACAGGAATCAGGTGGCAGGAGCAGAGCAAGAGAAGCCGAGAGGAGGCTGCGTCTCTCACTGACGTCTCAGCTCAGGCCTTTGTCCCCGAAGGTGTCCATTCTAGAGCAGCATCTCCTCGGAATTCATGCTGCAGTGACTGAGTGATCAAGCTGTTACCACGTTGCTTAACAGTCCATTTGCTGCTGGGGTTGTTTGTATTTGAGACTCAACAGATTTACAGGTAATTACATTCTGCAAAATTGTTGTCTTGGGAGAGTGGAATGTTCTCCAGTAGTTGAAACTCATTTAAAAAACAACTAAACAACGCTCATTAGTTTCTGTACTTGCATTTTTTAAAGTTCTTACTATTTTGAGGTTGTTTGTTAGCACTTTGACGCAATACAAACTCATCTTAGCCCGGTAAATCTTTTTAAAGATCTTAGTAACCTTTTATTTTCTTCTCTTGCTGTTCATAAGAAGATCATAGACATTTATGCTGGTATCCTAATCACAAGAGCTAATCTATGGCTTTCAGTATTTATACTACAAGATTATTTTACTGTTGGGCAGAACTTTGATGTGATTTCTGTCTTCTATCTCTTTCTGTAGACCTCATGCTATGTTATGAAGCTTGCCCATATCCTTAGTAACACCGGAAACACAGATCAGGTTTTTGCTAATAGTGTTCGTGTTATAATTAGCCTGTGTCATATCAATCTTTTGCATTCTTTGTACTCACTATGTATTGTCTCATTTATCTTCACACTGGCCCTGTGAAAGAGAATAACTGTCATTCCTCTTTGGAAATTAAATCAAAATGGAGAGCAGTCATGTTTGACCCGAGGATGTACTGCAAATTTGTATGAAGTCAGAACCCAGATTCCAGTTTCTTCTCCCCAATTCTATTTCTACCTACTTGTCTTAAATTCTTCTACCGTTTTTGTTTTTATTTTAAATCCAGAGGAATATCCTAGTCTTTAAAAGTCGACTTGGGGAACTCAGAGAGCATGGCGATATATTGCTAATTGGAATATCCTTTGGCAGCCTCTTATTAAATAACATTGTACTGCTGAATGCCAATATACTATTTTAGGCTTTCACTTTACCTTACATTCTTCTCTGTATTTTCTCCTGTCTCTTTCCTCTATCTTCTTTCTCTTTTCTTATTAAATCTCAAGGATTAAGAACCTAACATGGAACATTTTCCCTTTTCATCGAATTTCTTTCTTGAAAACATTCTTTAAAACTCAAAATGATTTGACTATTTTGAAACTAAGCTTTTACCTTAGATACAGGTAAATTGTTCTTCTGATGGACTCTGTAATCTGAAATCATGCCTGTTTGGAAGACATGGTCTTGATATAGAGACTGTTGACCAGGGAAAAAATGCTTTGTTGTCATTTTATTTTTAATTAGCTAAATTTAATCTTTAACTTATATATAAAAACACAAAAATTTTCAATATTAATAGGGTTCCATGTGATGTTTTGATACATGTATTACTACATTTTGTAATGTTTAAATCAGAATAAGCATACCCATTTCCTCAAATATTTATTACTTCTTCATGGTGAAAATAATTTAGATTTTTTTCTTCTAGCATTGGGAAAAATACAGTATGTTAGTGGTACTTTAGTCACCTTATAGTACAAGCCGGATGCAAGAACTTCTTCCTAACTTGGTGATCATTGCTCAGCCTTTCTCCATCCAATCTCTCTCTAGTTTTCACTGAAAGGAGTCCCAGGTTTAATCACTTGATCAAGTAGAGTCACAGATGAATTCTATTGAAGCCAAAGACTGTTGCATTTAACAAATTAATCCATATGTAATTGAGAATCCCAAGTGTAAGGCATTATACTTTGATTCCAGGTTACCCCTGAAAGACAGTGCTGCATTTTAATTGAGCTGGTCATGCGAACAAAAATTCACTTTCATACGGCAAGGTGTCATCAGACCTTGCGCCAAATTTGGCCACAGAGACACACATGGCGGCCAGTTCTGGGATCCATCTCCAGACCACGGGTGAAAGAGCAGGGTTTGCCTTCTGCTCTGTCACCCTAGTCTGGCACTGGACCAGACTGCACCTGGTCATGCAGACACATCTACATGCAGGCAAGCTGGAGCTCAGCATCCGTGGGTACCTTTGGAAACCATGAGGTTACTGAGCCCATGCATCCTCAGGTCACCGTGATTCCACTAAGCCCCACGCGGTGGACAGCAGGAAAGGAATACAGCCTCCATTTCCCCATTTTCTGCTCTATATAAACACATCCAATTTAAATATGAAAGCCTGCCCTTTCATGAACAAATCAGCAATGCTTTCTCATCTTTTTCTGTGATTTGTAGCTCCGAATGCTTAGATATTTTTGCAACAAGGAACATACACAATCTTGAGGGTTACTGAAATCCAACAAGTTGGCTTCTCAAAGTCCTTGAATTTCAAAAACGATAGATTGTAAAAGCATCTTAAAAAGTCAGTGGCTTCCAAGTACTCTGTGAACTGGGATAATAACAGGAATGAAAGGGAAATTGTAGTGCCAAATTTTCTTCGGCCCATTATTTGACAAACCTGCTTGGCTTCAGAGTTTGGAATCCATTGTTTTGTTAATGCCTGCCACCACTAAAACAGTCAGAACAGCTGTTTTACGATTTCACCTGGTGTAATTGTGGGTAGCTGGAATATAGAAGAATGACTGCAGCTGAAGTTCGAACAGGAGGGTGACAGTGCTTTGTCCCACTTTGCTTAGGACTTAACTTCTAGCCCCCAAAGCCAGTCACAGTCATGAACCTCAACTGCCTTCACTTCCTGCTGCCTTGTTTGCAAGTGGAAATGGGTGGGACCCTCGGGAGCTATCTAGAGCTGGAGAGTCAGTGTCTTGTAAAATGAGAAGAGGAAATGGTACCCTGGAGTCACTGGGGCGCTGTGTTTTCCTGTAATAAAAGAAATGTAGGTGGGGTAGAGTTAGATTTTCATGTTGGGGACAGAAATTGAGAGGTCCAAAGAGGGATAGTTGCCCCTGGTGTGGGAAGGTGACAGACACATTCTGACAGAGCCCCCTACCTACCCTGGATTGTGGAGTCCTTGGAGAGAGAAAGGAGCTCCCAGGCCAGCTCCACTCTGGAGGCCTTGGTTGAGTTTAGTCCTATGTCATGGCCCTCGGTCTTACACATCATTTAAGAATCACAGTGGGTTCAAGAGAATGAGCCATATTGTTTTGGACACAGAGTGCTGGTAGATTAGCCTGCCAACCCCGAAGGAGAGCAGTTGAATTTGGTGCCAACACCACGAGATATGAACAAGCCAGACGAGGCCCTGAGCACAGGTGCCTGGATGTGGAAAGAACCCAGAGACAGAAAGGGAAGACAGACTAGATATGAAGGTTTTTTTTAAAAATTCATAACTAAGTTATGCCGTGTTGGTTATATTTGGCAAGTCAGAACTTGCTGTTCTCAACCACCACCACCAAGAATAACCATAATGTTGTTAACAGTACAGGTGATACTACTGTTTAGTACCAACAATTGGTTACCTGTTGTATGGCAGACTCTGATCAATGCTTGCAGACATTTTCCTAGATTCTTATAACTCTGCATGGTAGTTTTGTTTTTATTATTGTTCTATGGAAGTTGGTGATAGGAAAAGGTAACCAAGTGGCCCAGAACCATCAGCAAAATAAGTGCTGACCTCAGAATTCAAACCCAGGCTGTTTGGATTGTGGACCTGCAGCTCCAAGTGCTGGTTGGGGATTCAAACAGGGATTCCCACATGTGCACTGCGAGGCCATCTGTGTGTAGAAGGGAATCGTTACAAATCCAGGAGAGAAGACAGCTCAGTGGAGTAACAACAGGTCAGGGTGTCAGAAGGCCAATGGAGAAACCCAGGAGTAGTAGAAATACTGCTCAAAACTCACCATGAGTGGAGCTATGCAAACTAAACACGATGATGCTATTTTAGCTTATTTAGCTTTTAGCTTAGAGAAACGGCAATCTCTAGTGGAAACACAGGCAGACAGAGCTGCTCTGGAGGTCAGTTTGGCCTTATCTACCAACTTTTTCAATACCTGTGTAAGCAATTCCACTTCTAGAGCTAGACTTTCAAGAAATACTGGTGTCTGTTTGTATGTTTGTCATGGTCTTGTTAAACATTCCCAAATGTCCATTTCCAAGGAGATCAAGATGTTTGCAGCATCATCAGTCCAGTGTGGTCGTTCAGACCACGAAATGCTGCCCCAGATGCCCGAGTCTGCCCCCAGCAGCACCGCTTGTAGCTCGTGACCTTGAGGAAGCTATTTATCATCTCTGCATCTCAGTCTTGTCATCTGCATTGGAGAGGATAAATTTTAGTTCTCCTATAAGGTTTGCCATAATTGAATGAAAATAAAGTCTTGGAACCTGACAGGTAGTGGGTATTCTAAAAGGACAGCAGTCCCCCCTTATCTGCAGCATGGCCTTCTATGGGTGTGGTTACCCATGGCCAACCTCAGGCAGAAAACAGTAAATGGAAAATTCCAGAAATCAGCAATTCACAATTTTCCAAAAAGTTTTTCTGCAATATTTTGTTCTATTTTGTTAGTAGTAGTATTGCCATTAATCTCATACTGTGCTTAATTTATAAATTAAACTTTGTAATAAGTATGTCTGTGCAGTACAGGGAAAAAAAATACATTAAGATTTAGTCCCATTGGTGGTTTTAGATACTCCCTGGGGGCCCGAGGGTCTTCTTTATTGGTAGTAGTAGTCTGTGAAATACTGCATTAATCAGCTTTCTGCCACTGCAACAAATTTCCTTGTTTCAGGTTTCTTATGAAGTAAGAGAGGTGAATTTAGCACACATCTCTGGAGTTTTAAAGTCCATGATTGGGCAGCCCCATTGGTTTGGCCTCTAATGGGGGCAGTTGAGGCAGGCACATCGTATCAGGAGCACTTTAGAAGCAGTCACGTCTCAAATTGGGAGAGAGAGAGAAGAGAAGATCCATGTGGTCCACACCATCTTCCAACATCATTCTGCTGGATTACAGGAGGCTCTGCCCTAAGACTACAGCTCTGAAATGTCCATAGCGCCTCCTTCTGGACCAAGGCCTCCATTACAACTGACACTCCATTGAATGGTGTTCCTCCCACAGCCGGCGCTATCCAGTCCCTGAAGAGTGTGAATGTGTTTGGACCCTTTTACTGTAAAAACGTTGAATCAATAAAAGATTATTCGGAACAATGTGCATGGCAACCTCCTACTTACTAAAATGAGAAATAAAATCATACTTTTTAAATGTCTACAAATACACAAAACGGTTCACAGTAATTTCAAGAGCAAGTTATTGAAGTAATTAGAGAACTAAAACCATCGCATTTTATTTTGTGTATTTACTATAAGCTGTGTCCTTTTGCAATGAAAACATAAGGACCATTTAGCCACCTGGCCAGCATATTATAAACATGCGGCATGCAGTGTACGGTATCTGTTATCTAATAGTTCCCAGCCTAGCCTAAAATGTGTGTGTTCAGAATTTGGTTGGGTTAGAGCTGGCGGGGCAAATGCCTGAAGTCAGTAAATCTGTGAAAACACCATTTGGGGGCTTGAGCTAGTTTAGAACTCAAAAAATTTTGGCTAAAAGACCTTGTTACGCAAATAACAGATTTCCATTTCCTCTCTAATTCTGTAACTCTTGGCCTAACAACCTCTGTTTTGCTGTAAAATGTTTGAGCAGGAAATCTATGTGCATGTTGCATGTTACTTTCCAAAACAAGTAAAATTTTTATTCTGCCCAGAGATGGCAGGACTCTGGGACATGGGGATATTTAGGGAGTGCAGATCTTCCGGGAGTGTGCAGAAGGGCTTTCTTTGGAGCCCCCGCCTTAAACATGAGTATCGAGGCCACAGACCGGAGCAGCTCATGCACTTTGGCGGGTCTTCCCAACAGGATGTTGCGTGGCAGATGCATGGGAGCCCCGGTCCTTATTGGCGACACTCGTACGTGCGCGCCACCTGGTGGGCCCTGGCGGTAACTTCAGCGACTGTGCCAGCTGTGTCTCAACTTGGTGAACATGGGTGCAGGCTAGTGAAGAGCTCTGTGGTTCCCTTCTCCAGTGACGGAGATGGAGGAGGCATTTGCCAAAGGGCTGGATTTGATCAAGAGAACGGATTTTTCATTGGAATTCTAAAAAGACTGGTTTGGTTCTTTGTGGAAGAAAAAGAAATGTTGTTGCTATAAAACTCATAACTTTCTCCCCCTCGATTGCTTTAAATTTTGAGAAATTTAAGCAGCACAAAGAAGTAAACAGATTCCTATAAACACCACCTAAAGCCTATCCAGAATTGATACGTTACCGTGTTGTATTACTGCATGAACATTAACATACTGTAATATTTCACACTTTTTAACTAAAAGAGAAAATTGAGATAGAGATGAAGTCCTTTTAAGATTAGTTATTTCAAAAGCTTTTACTTGTCATCAGCAGGTGGTAATTGGCTATATTAGTGGGGTATGATGTGATGTGTTTATATATGCTGGCATTGTGGGATGATTACACCAAGCTATTTCCCTATCCATCATCTCCGTACTTGTTTTTTCGTGATGAAAACAACTTAAAATCTCTTTTCTCAAATTTGAAACGTGCAGTACACTATTATTAGCTGTAGTCACCACGTGGGACAAGGGAGCTCCGAAGGGAATCCTTCTGTCTAAATGAAACTTGTGTCCTGTGAACGAAGCTCCGTCTCTTTCCCACTTGCACTCAGCCCCTGAGAATCACCACAAACCCTCCACTGCGTGGGCCTGACATCTTTAAGTGCCGTGTATAATGTGTGAGACCCTGCACACCTAACATATTCTTCTCCGGGTTCATCTATACTGCTGCAAACACCAGAAACTTTTCCTTCTTTTTAAAGCCCGAGTTGCATTTCATGGTACAGTGTGCACCTTTGCTCATTAATGAAGATTCTTTGGACCTATCTCTAATTCCTCTTCCTAATTTCTTGACAGTTACTATGATTAATTTGGTGACTATCCTTGTGACCCATTTGGGATATTTTGAACTTCATTAAGAATTGCTGAATACCTCCTGTTTGCCAGGTACTGGTTTACACATCAGTAATACATTAGAGAACAAAACAGACAAAAATATTTATCTTCATAAGCTTATACCCTAATGGGGGAGACAAATAACATTTTTTGGTTTGCAGTTGTAGTAGGAGAGTTCTGTGGGGAAGGGCTTAGGGTAGGATAAGGGAACCCAGGATGAGGTGTGTGGTGTGAGCATTTTGCACATAAAATGAGCGATCATGATAAGGCTCTGACAAGGTGAGACCAGCACAGCTGACGGGGAGCAGAACCCACTGTGTGGCTTTCACAGGGATGGTGTCCAGCACTGCTGGTCAGCACAGCAGCCTGCGTGGCTGCACTGGAGGGCATGAGCTGGGAGAATTAAAGAGGAGTCTGGAGAGGGGTGAGGAGCACGGGGCCCAGGGAACAGGGTCCCGTGGAACTCGTGGATGGTTGTCAGAACTTAGGCTAAGAAAAGTGGGAAACTGTGGCGGGGGTTCTGGTGGACACGTGAGCTGAGGGTTTCACCTCGAGGAAGGAGAGCAGCGTGGAGGCTCTCTGAGAACCCAGGTAGAGGTGACAAGTGACCTACGCCCGGGTGTGACATGATGATACTGAGGGCTGCTCAAGATCGGGGTGAATTTTGGAAGAAAAACCAGAGACAGCTGGCAGATTAAATTTGGAGTAGTGGAGAAGGAAGGAGTCGTGGAAAATTCTTTCATTAGTATTCCTGGGGTGAAACTGACGTGGTATAAAACGAGCCAATTTAATATGCATGACTCGGTGGGCTTCTTGTGCATACATGGTGATGTGATCCGTCACTTCTACCTAACTCCAAAACATTTTCCTTACCCCAAAAGGGAATTCCAAACCCAGGAAGTAGTAAGTGTCTTGGTTTCTTTTTTCTTGTTGCTGAGACAAAATACCCAACCCCCAAGTATTAAGGAAGGAAAGGTTTATTTAGCGCGCTGTTTGTGAAGGTTTCAGTCCATAATCGGCTGGCTCCAAGGCAGGGTGGCAAGGCACAGGGGCAACAGTTCAAGGCAGCAGCCAGCAAAAGCAACCTTTCTTCCTCCCTTACATTGTACACAGGACACCCCCTGCCTCCAGGGTATGTGAGCACTCACGTCACCTCTGTGCCCTGCTCTTGCACAAAATAAGAACCTTGGATTCTTGCTGTGTCTCTTAGTTAAACTTCTCAACTTCTCAAGTTGACACAATGTATGAACCGTAACAACAAGTAAGTAGTCACTTCCCATTCCCTCCTTTGCTGAGCATCTGGAAGCCAGTGATCAACTTTCTGTGTCTGTAGATTCTTTTATTCTGGGTATTACATGTCAGTGGAATTGTGCCGCAGGTGACCTTTTGTACCTGGCTTCTTTCAGTCAGCATAAGGTTGTGAGTTCACCTGTGCTGTGGCGTGTGTGGTAGATGTAACCTTTTTATGGGTGAGTAACGTTTTATCTCAGGGATGTGTATCATGTGTGTATTCATCCATGGATTAGGCTGCTTCCATTTTTGGCTTTTGTGATGACGTTGCTATATATTTACATCTAAGTACTTGTTTAAGTACCTGTCTTCAGATCTTTTGGAAATATACCTGGAGCAGGATGCTGGGTCTTACAGTAAGTCTGCATTTAACCTTTTGGCTCCACAGACGCTGGACCATGTCACATCCTCAGCAGCAGTGTATGAGGGTTCCAGTGTCTCTCTCTTACCCCGTCAGCGCTTGTCTTGTTATGTTCTTAAATTTTCATCATAGCAGCCCTAGCAAGGAAGCTTTCCAAGGTCTTAGCTTGCAGTAACAGAGTTGTCATAACGAGGAGAAGAAGGGCTTTGGGTACAAAAGAATGGGTTGGGAGGATGGGGGAGGAAGAATGTCAGGGAGGAGGATTGACTGACTATTGGAAAGGTTCTCAAAGATTCAGGACAGAGTGGCGAGCTCAGGCAGCTCGAGGGGAACATCGGCAGTGGAGTCAGTCTTCCTGCTTTCCAAATTCTTACAGAGGGAGATGAAGTGGGATGGCAGAAGGAAAGCCTTTTTATTTCCTCGTTTTATTTTTTATATGGGAGAAATAATTGTGATATAGAGAAGGGGGGAAGGAGGAAAGCAAGCCTCAGGGGATGGGATCCAGTGACAGTGGCTGCGGTGACCAATGGACTGCAGGTCCCGGCAGGGGAAAACAGCCTTGAAAGAGTGAGAGAACAGACAGAGGGTTGTGGCCGAGAGCGGGTGCGAGGAACTGAGGCCGTGGAGAGTCTTCGCCGGTGGTGAGCAGGGTGGTTCAGGGACACCCAGTGCGCTGGAGCGTGGCCTGCGTCTGTGTTCACCTTTGGGGTTGCAGACACAAGCCGTACTAGAGACAGTGACACTGAGAAGAATGGAGCTGAGCTGGGGGACACGAGGAGTACTGGGAGATCAAATCTGGTGACGGTGGAGCAAAGCTGGGATTGTTAGGAAAAAAAGAGAAAATGAAGAGTCTTGCAGTGGCCGTGGGGGCAGGAAGGACATCTGTGTGGACCTCCTGGTCCGGGGCACAAGGTCCCCGGGAGAGAGAGAAAGCGGCTTCCCTCGAGAGTCCGGTTCCTGGGGGGCGAGGATGGGGGGCGAAGGAAGAGTCTTACACACACTGTAGTGTTAAGAGTCTTACACACACTGTAGTGTTGTTTCGTGCGTGTGCAGCTGTAATTATACAAGGTCATCTGAGGTCCTCTGAAATCAAATTCCTCTCCCATGATTGCCATTCCCTTCCTGAGTTTGTGACCCGTGCCTCAGAGGATTGGTTGTCGCACACTAAATGCAGCCTCAGCAGGATCCTAGCACAGGAAAGGTGATGTTCAGGACCCATTTGTCAAATAAATTATAAATGTTATTGTCAGGTTCAGATCAAGGGGGTGCGGCGGAGGCTTAGAATCCTGAAAGGAATGTCCTGTTCCTCTGAAGGGCTTTTTACTCCATTTAACAGACAGTTCCTGAGAACCGAGCACCAGCTACCTGCTGGTGTTAAACAGGAAAGATGCAGTCCAGATTCTGTTTAGGGGGGCGTAAATGTAAGTGTGGGTGGCTCGTGAGCAGGAGACTGGATTCTTAAAATTCAGAGACTTGAGCATGGTTGGACTATGTTTATATTTGACTCCAAATATATCTGAAAATCCTGCTCTG